CTTTTTTGACAAAACAGTAGATTAAACCCCAAAACAGTAGATTTAAAAAAAAAAAAAACGTATTTTTTTCCCAAAACCGTAGGCTACGGTTTGGGAAACCGTAGCTAAACCGAGAGGAAACCGTACGGTTTTGATTCTTAGAAATGAAAAAAAAAATTATACAAAACACGAAACAGTAGACGAATTGGCGAAACAGTAGACGAATATAGAAACCTACGGTTTCGTGGGCTACATTTGGACATTTATTAATTTTTGACTAAAAATTATTAATCACTTCATTAATTTGGCTAGATTAGTAATTAATGTTAAGTTTGCAATATTGAAGATATGGGGTTAACTTATAAATCGAAAGACATTTCCACTCACTAAGGGTCCCAATATTATGTGGGCCGCATTATGGATAGCGAACCAATGTTATACTTTATTTACATCTCAAATAATTTAAAACAAAAACAATATGTATGAAGCCACTCAATATTTTATAAATCTCAAATAAATTTAAACAAAAACAATGTGTATGAAACCACTCAAATATTTTATAAATCTCAAATAAATTTAAACAAAAACAATGTGTATGAAACCACTCAAATATTTTATAAACTAGTTTAACCAGTTAAAAGGTTTACAAGCTAAAGTTAGCTTTTGAACATAAGAGTAAATTACACGAATCGTCTCTTATGTATGAGCCAAAATGCATGTTCAGTTTTTATTTTAAAGAATTAACTTGGATCATCCATGTATAATTATTTTCACTCGGGTCGTCCCTACGACCATAAAATGACTATTTTGCCATTAATAATTTCTTTTTTATTTTCTTTTATTTGGTTGTCATTTTTAAATTAAAATAAATACACCAATCATTCTAGGGTGTTCGCGGTGCGGTTTGGAGCGGTTTCGTACTGCATATGCGATTTGAGATATTTGGAAACCGCAAACCACACCGCGAAAGGTGTAAACCGCAGTTTACGGTGCGGTTTGTTGCGGGCGGTTTTGCGGTTTAGGTGGTTTGATTAGTTGTTAAACTTTGAAACTTTTTTTCAACCATTTAATCAAAATTAAAATTTTAAATTTTATTAAAGAAATACTATATTGTAATATTTTTTTAACATATATCTATGGTCATTGCTTAATAATGCCAAATCTTTATACATCTTATTGAACATTCTATATCGCAATACCTTACAACTAATATATAGATATATATATATATATATATATATATATATATATATATATATATATATATATATATATATATTTCATAAGGTGAAGTTATATTTCTTTGTAAAAGTTAATGTAATTTACTAAGAGCTAATGTAAGTTGTGGTTTGTTGAAGAACCCATGTTTATGAAATACTACATTAACATAATCTTACTATTATAATATAAGGTTTATCAATAAAAATCGAACTGTTATCGAATATATATATATATATATATATATATATATATCTATATATATATATATATTCGATAACAGTTCGATTTTTATTGATAAACCTATATTATAATAGTAAGATTATGTAACATGGGTTCTTCAACAAACCACAACTTACATTAGCTCTTAGTAAATTACATTAACTTTTACAAAAAAATATATAACTTCACCTTATGAAATATATATATATATATATATATATATATATATATATATATATATATATATATATATATATATATGCGGTGTGGTGTGGTTTGAACCGTAGTTTTGTAACTAAAAACCGCAAACCGTACCGTATAGTGTGGTTTATCGAAATTATGAACCGCAAACCACACCACAAAAAATCTAAACATCAGTATGCGGTGCGATTTTGTGCGGTGTGGATGGTTTATACATTTTGTGTGGTTTGATGCACACCCTAAGCCCTTCCCCCTCACTTTCCCCAAATTCTACTTTGTCTCCCTCTTCTTAGTCAATCCCGATAATAGATCCAATACCCTAGATCACAACATTTCTCATCCTTCTCTTGTTTTCTTTTCCGATCGTCTGCCTCCTTTCCGACGAGCTCTACACAGATTTGGCAGAGTACATTTCTACGTCAGACAGATTACTTTTAGTACCCACCAACTCTGGTGAAACAAAAATGGTGGATATACTGAATGTAACGACCCAATGTTTTTTAGAAATAAACAAAAACAAAATAAAGTTAGTCGTTACCCTTTCAAAAATATAATTAAATTTTCAAAAGTATTCAATCATAATTATAAAATAATATTTCTAAAAACATTGCGGAAGCAGAAAACATCACAGGTTTAAAATATAAAATAGTAAGTTCATAAATCTTCATAAGAATATCGTCTGCAGTCAGACCGGTCTCTTTCCTTTATTAAAACTTGACGATCCTGAAAATGTTAAATATCAACGGGTAAGCATAACGCTTAGTGTGTATACACATTACTCTACCATTATATAGATCACTTACTTACACATAACATAACATTTTACATAAAACATAAAACATAACATAAACATAAACATAAACATTCCTAACACATATCGTTGGTACCAACCATAACATTGTTCTCCCTTCCAGGAACTACACCCCTTACTCCCTAAATAGGAAATAAGAGTGCAGTTGGCCTCACTAGAGGACAAACCACATTCTATCTTACCTTGTTCACTCTAACGGATTAGGGTATCCGTGCACAAATATAAAACAAGTAATGCCTACATAATAGGAGAGTTAGTGTAACTCACATCCTTGACCTTGAAAACTTAGCTAGCGGGAGCTAGATATAGTTTTTTCTTTCCGAGAACGTACACAACAATTATAACAGTATTTAGCTTATGCTTTGTTGTATTACTCTTATAAAAAACTTACGTACATATTTTCTCATTTTCTATTTGATTGTAGTGTTTTGTTCGGGACCTGTTTTCCCACCTTAAACTCCATATTTTCCAAAACTGTAACACATGAAGATAGATCAGGTCCTTAGCTTTAAAAGTAGTACCCGCACACCTCCATAAGATTTTTCCATGATTATGACGAATTTTACAAAACTGTCTTGCATAACAGGTCATTCTGGACCAGTCTGGGTAAATGGTCATTTTCACCCTAGTTTGAAGACTTTCTGATTTTTGGTCAAAACTAATGAATTGTAGTAGACTAAAATACCAAACTGTGGGGACTTGTCTCGACCCAAGATGATGTCCCATGATTTTTATACGATTTTTACAAGACATGGGGCAGAACAATAGATTTTTCAGAAAGGTAAAACTAGGATTAGGGTTCAATCCACTCAACCCATTAAGTCCCAAATTCGATTAAGACCTTCCAGGTCAGTAACACATCAACCCTAGGTCCTATAACAATTTTACAAGCAATGAGAAAGATATCATACGTAAGTCGTTGAGATTGAAAGCTCCATACAAGCCTTGCACCTAAGACATTTCAACAACAATCCAAAAATTTTGGCAATGATTGACGATCTATAACTCAAGCTCCAGACCTTGAAATAAAAATTTTAATGGCCAAAACTTCAATATATGTCTTGAGAATCCGCAATCCAAATTTCTCGACGATCCAACGGTTCAATCTTCGGGGATCGTCCAAGTACTACTGAAAGATCTTCAAAAATGGGAATTCCAAGCAATATGGGTTATTAGGGTTTAGTTGTGTTTAAGGGCCCTTAAGTGGTTAATCAAATTCGGCCCTAAGGCCCCCAATTCAACCTAAAACCTTTCTCATGAGGTCCCTAGGTTTGAAACAATAACTCCATTGCCCCTCTTTGCAATATTCTGACTTTTAAGTTACCAATTCTTAATTCGGTTCCTCATAATTCCAACTATCATCGATTTTAATCGATCTTCAAGTAACTATAATTTCATTTCATACTCCCCCATACCTAGTCTTGAAATATAAATTTAACTACTAAAATTCAAATATCTGAATTTATAACCTTACACTTTAATTTTATGACCCATAATTATAACTATTTAAATTAAATGGAAATTAGGGTGTTACACTGAAATAAAAATGGCAGACCTGAAGCCACCGCAGCTCGCCTTCGATCGTTTTCTCACCCATTCTTTTTATCAATCGATCTGACAACCACCGGTTAACGTCATCCCCGTCGCAGCTTGCCATCACCATCGTAGCTCACCACCACCAAACCTATTCTTCAATTTTCAAGCGGTACAAGCATCGTCTTTAACTTACAAGTCGAAACCACTGGTATTGTTGCTAACGTCACTTTGCTCCATGGGAGGTTTGAGATACTGACGTTTTTTTGATGGTTCTTGTGGTGTAGTGAGCCTAGGCGACGTCAATCTGAGAGGCTGAAGTGCACACCAGAGATTGAAGAGGGAGTCAACACATCAGAGAATAAAGAAGGGTAAAGAGAGATAGATGAGGGTTGTGGTCCATCGATGGTGGAGGCTGTGGTCAGGCGACTTATTGCCGGAGTATTGTTTGGGGATCAATACCGGAGTTATTTCCGGTGGTAGTTGTAGCAAATTCCGATGACTTTGTTTCTTCCTAAAAACAAAATTTGGTAGTTGTGATGTTTGATATCTGTCAAAAATTTATATGGGAAAGAGGGGTGGTTGCTATTTTTTATTTAAAAGGGTTTGGTAGACCCAAAAATTTAATTTTTTCTTTAATAATTAAAAATATAAAAATAAATGAAAAATGACACTATAGTCATTTCATATTTTGCAAAGGATGAAACGTGTAGATTTTAACCAACGAATGATGAAACGTGCAAATTTTAACTAAACGAAAGACGGTCCGAATTAAATTTTGAAAATAGGGACTGAGCGTGTATTTTGACGCCTTCACAAGAGACGATTCATGTAATTTACTCTAAACTAAGATGCAAAATCCAACAAACTACTATGTAATGAACTTACACCCAACACGAGTCCCAACTAGCATAAAAATTCCAATTCTAATGTACATTAAGCTCTTTGAGGGGATTACACCAGCTGTTTTACATCTCACATGATGGTCATAACAAGATAATGTGGGACATTTCATTGGTTGTTGAAAGAATAACTCTTGTCGAAATAAAACATGTAGAATTGCGATACGATACTTAGCAAGACGAAAACAAACGATCATACAATGTTGGACCTCATTATTCAATATAAAAAAGAGCTTAACCCAATGCTTTAATCAAAGAAAAGAAACAAAAAATTATCATCATTTAGAATCAAAAGATCACATTAGGTCTAAAAATAACAATGTCGTATCATCATCATTTCGCACGTGTCTGAAGCAGAGACGCTAGGCTCACTCTCCACCCAGCAAAAAGCGCAGGCAACTTCCTCTCGACTAGTACAGATGCTAAGCCGCCTCCAATGCCATATTTTGGAGCTTGATAATCGCTTCTAGCCACTTGCATTTCTGATATTCTGAAAAAAAAAACATAGCAATGTAAATTAAATATTTTATTTCATTGGAATGATGAAAACATTTTTACTAATGTGATTATCATGGGTAGGAATGACTCATTCCATTACCTTGTTTATTTCATCCATTACATTCTTATTTCATTTCATCCAACCAAACAATCCCTAAAACTCAAGGTTTCTCATGAACACCACATGCATTTTATAGGATTGAGGTTGACTAGCCTAAAGTATATCCCAGTATATAAATAAACCAAATATTTTGTAGCCCAGAAATAGATTTTATAAAATAAAAGATATAAAATAGAAGGAATAATACCTGGATGTGAGTGAAGAACCTTCATCACAAGAAATTGTTGACAAACCTTGTCGTTGTTTATGCTTGGGATTTGCTGAGCATAAAACAAACACTCTGCCACGACGCTTCACTGTTCTACAGAATTCACACATTTTCTTCACTGATGACCTCACCTTCATTTCTGCAAGTAATCTAGTCAAATTTTCTGTCATATAAACACGATTTAATAGAATGTGGAAAAAACTTAAAGCCCAAAATCTACACAGTTTTCATTATTGATTACTTCAATTCAGCAAGAGCGAATTGTTTATGTCATTTATCAATTTATGCAGCAACTATACTTATTTTCTATTGAGTTATACATATGGCGAACTGAAGAAACCAACTTCCATGGTGAGACCATTATATAAAACGGATTGTAATGCGCTTAATATATGATATACGTATGCATACATACATATATATATATATATATATATATATATATATATATTTGGAGAAGATGTACACAATCTATGTTAAACCCTAAATCAAAAGAAAAAACCATACAAATGAAAAGGGGGTTGTCACAAATCTAGATACAAATCAAAAAAACCTTTTCATTCGTGGATTAATAAAAAACTTACCTGAATTTGCGAACAGACTCTTGTATTGGATCTTGCGTGTGCGATTATCTCTTTCCCCTGCTCTATGTTCTGCGCCTCTACCACTGATGTCTAGGGTTCGGACCGACTCTTGTGGCTGTGGCTAATAGAACAAAATATGCTGCCGGGTCGACTCACTGATTCGGTTTCACTTTTGAGAATTACGAATCGGAGTTTATGCTTTAAAAAATTAATTAATTTAGTATAGGTTTTAATCTCTAGATTCATGAATTTACCATATGATTTTTGAAAATTACTAAAAATATTCAAGAATTTTAAGTTTACAAATATAACCATATAATCCAAGAGTTTTTTTTTCCGGATCCAAGATTCAATGGATACCCACCAGTTTAATTTACGCCTAGTTTCCGAGTTTAACAAAAGAAAAGAAAATAAGAGAAAAGAAAGTAACGTGAGAAAACAAGAAAAATGAAAGGATAACAAAATTTTCTTTTGTGTTTTCCGAGTTGTAGAGAAGTGAAAGGAAAATTGATCATTTTGTTCTTTCTTTCCAAATCCTCCCAAATCGGAAGGAAAGTTAGGAGGGTAATTGATCATTTCATTACCTCCACTTTCTTCCTTTAATGAAACTCGGGAACATCAATTTTTTTTTATTTTCTTCTCATTTCCACTCATTTCCTTTCTTTTCTCTCATTAAGTTGAACTCGAGAACGAGGTGTTAGTGTTAAATTTCAAAGAAAATATGAAATATGATACCGATCGTATTCTTGAATCACGTTTCAAACTCTCTCAAAGTGAGACAACATGGATTGGGACATAGAAGAGGTTACGGTGTATCGAATAAGTTATTTTCAGTTTCCATTTCACATTTTATGTAGTCCCAAACTCAAAACCCACAGTTTGAAACAAAAACCTCAATAAAAGTTTTAAAAGCGAATGGTTATGTTCGTATAATTGACTGACTTGGTCAAGTTAAGAGACATTACTGAGGTTTACACAAACTTACTTCATCGATTATCGGATGAAGATGTAGTACTGTAACATCTCAAAATTCTAACCATAAAATCTTACAGTCAAAGTGTAGGTTTTACCAAAATGTTTTATTCATAATCATTAGTAAATCATAAAATCATCTTTGTGCGTCATATCGACATAATTATAGTAAAAATGAGGAAGCTAAGTATTGTTTTGAAAACCATAACATTACATAGGATGAGTAAAACAGATGTTATGTCTCTTCAAGAATGTCTAGATATCTCAATCAAGCCAGCTTCTTGCCCTTCGAACATGAAGGACATGCAACTAAAAACATAAAGTAGAAATTATAAGCCTACGCCTTAGTGAGTAATCACAACACTCACCCATTATACAGATCATATGTATTTTCACAACATACACATAAACATCAAGTCACATAAAACTATACACATAACATATGCTAGCACACATAACCCCAATCAACTAGATTCCCTTTCTGGGAAACTTTTCTCTAGTTGACATAACATTGATCACTTCCCTTTCTGAGAGGCTTTTCGTGATCTGACCACTTCCCTTTCTAAGAGACTTTTTGTGATCTTACATCCTTTTAATCCAACTAGATTCCCTTTCTGAGAGGCTTTTTGTGATATCTTTTTAATCCATATAATAAGTAAGTTCATGAGAACTCACCTGAATATCTGATATGAAGGAATCCACAAGACCAAGCTAGTGGCATTGAGTCTTCCTCAAACACTACACAATAAATAACCCTAATTTAATAATTAAGGTACAATACTTAACTTTCCTCTCTAAACGAATCTTTCTTATTCTAATCCTTAATTTAGGGCAAAATGCCATTTTTCCCTTAATCAATGATCTAAGGCATACTTTCATTAAAAAATGACCAAAGGTCAAACTAGTCAAAAGTCAACGTAAATGGCCTACCGCATTGTGGCAAACCCCTGACTGCGTTGTGGTCTTGTCACAACAAAACAATCATGAAGCCTCTATTACCACCGTGTGGCGTAATTCAATTGGTCGCACTGCGGTTCCTATGGGAGAACACTAACTCGATAAGCACTTAATCCTTATAGATCAAGGCTCATAACTCCATATATGATTGTTTTCCGTGTCTTAATGGATAAATTTCAAACTTTATCCATTCTAATGGCTAAAACCAACTAGATCCATAACCCTAACTTGATTTAGTCCATAAAAGCTTATCACACTTTTTCATGGTTGATCAAAAAAAACATTGACATATTTCTACATCATAAACCTTAGAGACATGTTCATTTACTTGTTGGAGTTATGGAGTTGCTCACACTCTAAGAACATGGGGTTAAATACCTTAAAATGACCAAAACCTCAAAAATAATCTTTAGATATATGCACAACTTGAATAAAGCAAGGATCATGAAACTTATAGTGTAGAAGAATGACTAGAAGATGAAGTATTGATCGTAGAAGAACACCAAAACCATCTTCAACCCCTATATGCTCTTTTGACCATCAACAACACCAAAACCCAACAAAACTTGGAGAGGAGTTAGGGTTTCGCTTGGGGGAAGGAGGATGTTGAAGATATGTGAAAACCCTAATCTTACATTCCTTAAATAGGGCCTAACGCCCGAGACATAGGGTTTTGGGATGTAGCAGCCGCCGCGCCGCGGACAGACACCAACCATGCCTCCATTTAAACACGTGGCCGCGTTGCACCACTTTAACTTCCACATCGCGTCAGAAGGTTTTTTCACCAAAACTTTATTTGTAAAAGCCACAAGTCTTTAGTTCATCAACCCAGAAAACAACTATTACAATTTCCCCCCACTTACCTATATTGCATTCTCGAAATCCATCTTGGTTATAATAACAAAAACAATTTCTAAAAGCAAAGACCTCATGTTATTCCTATTACTATTTACTAAATTGATGTCACAATCAAGGAGTTCCCGAGACCAATCGAAAGTAAACAATGTCTCTATTTAAACCCAACCCTTTTATCTGTCACCAATTACCCAACGATAACTTCACAAAACTAAGAATCCAACGGTTCAAAATCTCAGAAATCAAACCCTGAGACCAGTGATCAACCCTCATATATACATATCAACTAATCCCCCTTTGATCAGAAGTGACCACTATGAAGAAACGATTAATTGAAAACATTACATCCAGATAAGTCGATAAATTCTCAAATCTAGAACCCATGACTAAAAGGCTTCTCATGCACACTTGACCTCCTAACAAGTTATTACAATGCTACTGATCTCATAAGCATAGTAATTAAGCAAAACATAACCTCTTTTCTCAAAGATCTAGTATGCCCAATAGTCATTATAGAATGATATTGCTAATAATATATGGTCCTATAGGGTCACACCATATAGCAAGTTACCGTCAATTGATTATTTATTAGTATAATTTGATTATTAATAAATAAATCAACACTTGTATTTAATTGGAAAATTATTATTTCATGGAAATAATATTTTACTAATTGAGAATTTATTATTTGTGGAAATAATATTTATTGGAGAAATAACAACTTATGAAATATATCATAAAGTATGATTATTTATAAGTTATATTTATATCTTAATAAACTAGTTCAATTTATATAAAAGATAGCTTTATATAAAATAAGCTAGTTACAATTTATGTAAAAGATAGTTTTGTATAAAATAAGATATTTATATATGACTAGTTATATAAATATATATGTTGGGAATTCTTTATAAAAATAATTGATTTTTATAAAGATAACATGTATGTGTATATAAACTAGCCATGAGACAAATTTTTTCTTCTTTTGGACATGCTTTTCTCGAAATTAGGAAGGAGACAAGGCATGCATGCATTGTCTATTCATACCAACCTTGGGGACAAAGTTGTCTCTCCTTTTGCTTTATGGTATCCCTTTGCTTTTTGGGCATTATATAAGGGAGGGAATGGAAGGGTTTTGGAGGACACACTTCTTGTAAGTCTTCTTCTTCCATCTTCTTGAAAGCATTCTTTTGGTGTCTTTGGAGACCCAAACCGAGAGCACCTCCTCTCCATGGGGCTGCCAAAATTTCGAGCTTCATGCTCTACATTCTCTTGCATTTTGATGCTAGAAGAAAGTCCCTTTGTTGCTTCACCTTTGAAGATATATTTGGTATATATTTCAAAGGCTTATGAACAACAAATTACAAGTGAATACTAGCATGTTTTTATGGTTCTACTCTTGCTTGGTGGATACTTATAGAGAACTCTTGCTTTAGAGTTTCATGCCACACTTCATCAACTTCCAACCTCCCATGATGATCAAAGTCTTCAAAGGTTGTTATGCTTTCCCTTCTATGGTTGTTTTAATCTTCCTAACTCTTGCAAAATGATCCTTGGTGGGTAAAATAGTTTTAGTTTTATTCAACATTTTTAAAGCTTCCGTTGTCAATTTTATCGGTTGTGAAACCGGATTTATGAATAAAAACCCAACAATTGGTATCAGAGCCATTTTTGCAAGATTAGTTAGATTATTTGTTTAGTTGTTGAAATCTTTTTTTTTTTGGAAAAATGGATGGTTTTCTCTTTGCAAGAAAAATTCATACATATTTTCTATGACAACTTTAAAATGTTTATAATTGTTATTTTTTGACCAAAAGTTTACATGCATCTTTTTGGTCATAAAAGTTGTCTTAGAAAAACAAAGAGTTTTTTATATATTTTTTAGTATATAAATATGTATGATGTGCATAAACTAGCCATGGACCTTTGTGTTGTTGCATGTGTTGATTTATTTAAAATGGTTGTAAATATTTATTTATTCATATGATATGTAATAATTAAATAGATAGTTTTCATTTGTTAATTTTTGTAAGTAATAGATTAGTTTTAGAAATAGTTTGTTTTTATAAAAATGTAACAAGAATGAAGATGGTGACCATTTCGAAGATCAAAAGTTTATAAACTTGATTTTATTAAAGTTTCTCAAAGTTTATAAAATTATTTTTATAAACTTGCTACAAGGTGTTGAAGCAAGTGGGAGCACATGAAGACTTTACAAAATAAATGTCACTTATGTCCCTTTAGGAATGGACTTGATAATTTTGTGATGACTCACAAAATTATTACTAGTTAATGGCTTTTTTTTATGCACATATATTATAATTGTTATGCATGCTTGTGATGTTTTATGTTTATGTTATTATTATTATGTGATGGTTGATAAATTACTTTTTCAAATGCAAAATAATATTTGAACATAAATAAACATCACAAAGAGTTTGGTTTTAATGAAATTTACCTTTTTACATAAGAT